GCTGGGTGGCAAAGTCCTGCTTCTTGATACCACTCAGTGTAACATAGAAAATTACACACACATACACACACACACACACACACAGTTGTAATGTTAGTGTATGTGCAATGCCATTCCACTTGCAGCAAATGGATACAAAAATAACCATAAACAGTTTAAATATGTAGTAGATGTAAGCTTATATTTTTAAATAGCTGCATTTCTCCTCTGGGTGAAAATACCATAATTTCCTAGTCATTCCAAGGTTTGATATTTTAGCTGTTGCCAACTTTTCACTGTGAAATAAACATTCTCTCTTGCATAAGAAATAATTATTTGTACTGATCTTAGAAGTCTAAGCAATTTGTTGATTCCGTTCCATGCGGGGCACTTTACTGTAGTGTGTCACTACCTTTTTACAGCCATGAAGTGTGTGTTATGCTTCCCCTTTTGCACAGGAAGAAATGGAAACCGAAGCAGTCAGAGCTTGGCTAAGTCACGCAGCAGGTGAATGTAGAGCGAGGGTTTGTTCTCAGATCTGCCCAACTCCCAAGCCCCTGTTCCTCCAAACCACAGATCTCTTAGGAGCAGGACTGCGGGGCCAGAGGAATTACTAGCTTAGGGCTCAAACACCATGTCTCCAGGTTGCTCTCCAAACGCTCTGTGCTATCCTATAAAGGCCCAGGCCATGAGTATACGATTTTCCCTTAATATTGTCCGACTTCATTTTTTAAGCTAAGAAATTCAAAGACCCACAGCCACTGCTTTTATTACCTTATAGCACTGCTTTTACTCCGAATCCACCTTGAACTTGAGTATGACCTGCCTGGCACGGAGCACCAATTAGATGACAGCCTGCCCAGAGCTCACCTGTTCCTGGGTTTCAGCCCTTCCCCAGGGTGAGGCTTGTGGTTTCCTACCTCCACACCAGCGCGGAGGGGAGTTACACCTCCTCCTCTGTTTATTGTCACCCCTTTCATGGCCTTCATCGCTGAGAAATGTAGCAAAGCACGTTCTGTAGAAATGGGAGACGGGCACTCTGCTCCCGTCTCCCTCCCTGCATCAGTGTCTTGAGTAAAGAAGCGATCAACCAACATCAGGAAGTGTAGCCATGAGAGAGGGGGACACTGGAAACAGAACCCGGGAACCACATTCCACTCTTTTCTTTTGAAATTCAGGGGTGAGTTTCATGCCCATTTAGTGCATGGGAGGGGTCAGAGAGAGAGCATGGGGCCCCCTCCACGGGTTCCTCGCTGAAGAGCCACAGGACCTGTGTGATGAGCGAGGCCCCTTGAACCACCAGCTTCTGCCCGGTGCTCCCCTGGCCAGGCGGGGCCCTGAGTGTTTGCTATTGATACAGTCTCACTTCCGGCCCTGTGGGGATGTGAGGGTTCTACACATGCACACATACAACAACACACTCGGCCGCTGCCGTCGCTCAGCCAGGGGTTAGGTTGGTATCTCGTTACTGAGGCTGTTTGGGGCTGTCTCTTGCACCCGCCTCTTTTGTAAGCTTTCAAAACAAATGAAATGGCTTATCTCTGGTTCAAGGAGGATTTTCCCTGCCGCTGACTGTGCTGTGATATAGCTCAGTGAGTCTCCGCAGTGGGTGGGGGCCGTGTGCCCTGCGCATGTCCTGGCGCTGGGGACAGCCCTTGCCTTGGCCTCACCAGTGCTTCTCCTGTAAGGAGGGGGGTGGGGTAGGGAGACCACCGGTAGAACGAAAGCCCAGAGCCCGCCTTCTGACTCCTTTGGGGTGAGAGGGAGACGGTGACGGAGGCAGACCCCTTCCCTGTGAGGGAGCCATGACGCCTCCTCTTGCTGTTTCCTTAAGAAATCCAAGGTGCCGAGAGCCCAGCGTGCCACTCACGCTGGTAACAATAACAACGACAGCCATGCGGTCATACGTGTACCATCTGTTACCATTCCCTCCCACCCCTCCCCCACCCACGGGCCTTAACATAAACCCGCCTGCATGTCAAGCTGTTACGTTGACCTAGTCTTTACACATCTCCTGTGTGTGAGTGGAGAGCTACTGGAATTCATACAATAGGGGGTTCATACATGCGCCTGTGGGCACTGTGCAGAGTGGGTCTTTGTCGTGCACTGTGGTGTGTGTCACGTGTCTGTGCAACCAGACGCCCCTTGCTACCCCACTTCCATGATGCCAGCTGTGGGTACATGCGATGCCATCACACACGATTGCAGACATGAAATAACAGGCTGTGGCCATCTCCCAGCACTTACATAGACGGGGGGCTATGTTAAGTGCTGTTTGTGTAGCGTCTTGTGTACTTCTCACCAGCCCATGAGGTGGGCACTGTGGTCATCCATCTCATTTTCCTCCTGGGCTCACTGAGCCACTGAGAGGCTCATTAACTTTAGTGCACGGTGGACCTAGAGTTTAACGCAGACATCTTGATTCCAGAACACTTGCATTTAGTTGCTAGTCACACTGTCTCCCTGGAGGAAGTGAATGAACACCCTAAGTTTAACATCATTGGAAAATGTGCTGTAAATGCCACGATGTGCACATGTTTGCCAAGCTTCGGGGGCCCATATGCTCAGGCTGTGTATGTGCATGTTTGCATTGATCTCAGACAGGTCCGGTGCTGGTGCTAGGAGCTCAGGTGGTGTGCACAGTATGGGTGTGGGAGTGAGCTCTCAGATCTGGACCAAGATGCTGCCATTGAAGATCAAGATCGTTCCGCACGAGAGGAGAGACAGGCCAGGGTGGGCGAGCTACGCTCCGGCTCAGGTGCTCCCAGCGCAGTGACTGCTCACCTGTGTGCCCTTAGATGACCTTCCTACGCCTCGCCTCTTCTCATCTGAAAGTGGGGGGAACAAACGGCTCACTAGATTGCCTTGAGGAGGCACTGAGATCACACCGGTCCACAGTGAGTGTGTGGTCACTGTTAGCCGCTTTTATCATGGTTACATTTGGACATTGGTCTGATTTAAATTGAAATTTCCCACCTTCCGCATAGAACCTGTGCACAAAGGTTGCTCTTTGTAACATTTCCCCTTGTAAGACAAATGGTTCCCGCACCTGCGCCAAACACTTGCCCCTGCGAGGTGCTTAGTGCCAGTAACACGGAACAAGCTACTTTGCGTGAGTGGAACGTAGGAGGACGCAGTTAGGGAAACAGTGACAGGAGGCATGGAGGAGTTTAGCCTTTAGAAGTGTGTGGTGACCTCTATAAACCTAGAACTGTTCTTTTCTAAATTTGTTTTTCAATTACAGTTGACATACAATATCACACTAGTTTGGGGTGTGCGATGTATTGATACGACTGTTCTTCCAATAAATACTCTTTAGTTTTAAAGAGTATGTGTGCGATGTATTGATACGACTGTTCTTCCAATAAAGTTTAGTTTTAAAGAGTATGTGATAAGCTCTGGCTGGTTTGGCTCAGTGGATAGAGTGTCGGCCTGCAGCCTAAAAGGCCTGGGTTCCATTCCAGTCAAGGGCACATACCTTGGTTGCAGGCTCCTCCCCAGCCCAGGCGAGCCGGAGTCCCTCCCCTGCCCCCGGGCACGGCCAGTCCTGGAAGCAGGCCAGTGAGGGACTCAATTAAGCAACAAAAGGGTCCGCGATAACGTGTTTCTAGGCCCAGCTCTCCCGCAGTGAATGGATTAGCTTCCTCTTTGTAGGACAGCAAATGGCCACAGAGGAATTCTTGAGTCTCGTTCCTCATCTATGAAAAGTGGGGCTGGCTTCCGAAGGTGTTTTCCCACTTTGAAACTGAGGTGGAGCGAACAGACATTTAGGGGAATGAAATGATGGCTCAGTGGGGCTTCGTCGGGATTGGCGGGCGTCCTGAAGACGGGTGGGTGGGAGAGAATGGTTGTTTTCCGGGCGCAGGGAGCCCTGGCACCGAAGTGGCTTGAGAGCCCTGAGGGAGGCTGGGAATTCGCTTGTCTGGAGGTCTGGAGGGAGAGGATGGCTGATCTGAGGCCTCAGCAGTAAGCGAAGGAGGGTTGGTGAAATGGTTTCTTCCGGGCTGATAGCTAAGCAGCCGTTTCCAGAGGCATTCTTGTTCCTTCCGTTAGGTGCTCCCTGATGAGCTCCCAACGCCCGCACCTGAGAAACCTACGCTTTCGCTCGTCAGGAATGTGTGTTCCGGGCAAAGAGTCCATCCTGGGGCCTCTTGGGGCTCCTGTGAGGCAGGCTGTGTGCGGCGACACCGGAGGGAGGAGTGGCCATGCCAGAGCTGTCCCTGAGGGAGCTGGGGCAGGCGTCCCCAGGGGCCAGGCTGGGAGCTAAGGGCATTGCCTGTCTCTCCAAACCTGGCCTGGCCTCGCCTTCCCATTCCTCACCCACTTCAGTCTCAGCTGGGACTGAGCTTGTGCGCCGGGCCCAGTGGTTGGTGACCGATGGCAGCGAAGGGTGGTACGGGAGTCCTGCCGTGGTGGCATCTGTGGTCAGAGGGAGGAGGACGTTGGGAGGGATGTGACGGAGGGTGGCAGGTGCAGTGCAAAGGCCGTGCAGGCCATGCACCCGGCATGTTCCATCCCACGAAGGACTGTTTCAGTGAGCGCGGAAGACATTCTCAAAGGAAGAGAGCGGGAATCAGAGGGGACAAGGAGAGCAGCGACAGCCTGTGGGGCCTGTGGGAGCCGGGAGTCTGTGGAGTCCCTAGAGCTTTGACCGGAATTGCCCTCCGGAGTCCTCTGCCCTCACCTGGGAGCGATCGTCCCTGGCTTAGTCTCTGCTGGGGCATCGCTGCTGAGGGGGAACTAACTCTCGTTCGCTTGGGGGCCGTCTGGTCACTGGAGGAAGTGGCTCTCTCTAAGAATGTTGTGTGTGAGGGAGGGAGAGCGGAGGAGAGAATAGGAGGGAGGAGAAGGGGGAAGGGGAGGGGAGAGGGAGGAAGAGGCTGCTCATGTTCACCTTAATGAAGCCTTCTGTGAGCTAGGATGCTAGTGGGGTCCGCCTGCAGGACTGGGGAGGTGGGGAGGCGGGGGGGGGGGGGG